ACCAGAACCCCCAGATCCCCCTCCACACGGCTGCTTTCCAGCCTCTTGCTCCCCAGCCTGTATGTATATCCAGGGTTACTGTGTCCCAGGTGCAAAATCCGGCATTTCTCCCTTTTAAACTTCATGTGATTGCCCAGCTCTCTAATTTGTCCAGATCCCTCTGCAGGGCTTCTCTGCCCTCGAGAGTGTCAACTGCTCCTCCCAATTTGGTGTCGTCTGCAAACTTAATAAGTAGGCCTTCAAGTCCTGCATCTAAGCAATTTATGAATATATTAAAGAGTACTGGCCCTAAGATGGATCCCTGTGGAACCCCACTAGTGACCAGTCGCCAGCCTGATGTGACCCCATTTACTCGACCCATCAGCCAATTTCTCACTCAATGCATTCTGTGCTTGTCCAGCTGGATGCTGGACATTTTGTTTAGAAGGATACTGTGAGAGACAGTATCAAAGGCCTTTCTGAAATCTAGAAAGATTGCATCAACTGGCTTCCCTTGGTCAACTAGGTGGGGAACCTTGTCATAGAAAGGACCTTCCCCTAATGAACCCATGTTGGCTGGGACCAATGATTGTGTTGCCTTTTAGGTCTTTTTCAATATCTCCCAGAATAATCTTCTCCATAAACTTACCAGGCACTGAAGTGAGACTAATGGGCCTGTAATTACTGGGGTCATCCCTGCTGCCCTTCTTGAAGATTGGGACAAGATTTGCCAGCTTCTAGTCAACTGGTACCTCTCCAGATTCCCAAGAGCATTGAAAAATCATTGAGAGAGATCTCGCTATGACCTCAGCTAGCTCTTTGAAGTATCTTTGGATGAATCTCATCAGGCCCCATTGACTTATAAGGATCCAGCTGGAGCAGCAAATCCCTCACAAGTTCAGGGCTGATTGGGAGATTATCATTTGCACAGTCACGGTTCTCTAGCCCAGGGCTCTGGGGGTGCTTAAGCCCATCATCAGTGTTGAAGACAGAGGTAAAGAAAGCATTAAACGTCTCTGCCTTGTTTATGAGGTGTCCATGATCACCGAGCAATGGGCCAATGTTATTTCTGGCCTGCTTCTTGTATTAACATATTTTTAAAAGCCCTTCACAGTGCAGGCCAGCTTCAACTCTAGTTGAGCTTTAGCAGCACGGATTTCTGCCCTACAGTGGCGAACAGCATCCCTATAGTCCTCCCATGGTGTCTGTCCTTCCTTCCACTGGCCGTACACCTTCCTTTTGTGCCTTAGTTCTAGTAGGAGATCCCTGCTCAGCCAGGGTGGCCTTCTACCTTTATCACCAATCAAATCAGCAGGGCAAAGAGAAAACAAAAGCAGATCTTAAATATCTTCCCCCCACCCCTCCCTTCTCCCCGGTTCCAAATTACTTTGCTCCCGATTTCTCTACCTCCTCCTCCTCAGCGGCACAGGAGGACAGGGAGTGGGGTTTAAAATCAGTTAATCACACATTCTTTTCTGACGTTCCTTTCTCCCAGGGAGGGGAGGGGGGCTCCTCACAGCCTTCCCCCACTCCAACGCAGGGTCCCTCCCATGGGAGAGAGGCCCCTTCATGCACCTCTCCAACATGAGACCATCCCACGAGGTGCAGTCCTTCAAGAACAGACTACTCCAGCACAGGCTTCCCAGAGACGCAGCCTGCTTCGGGTGCAGTCACCTCTCCTGGCGCGGAGTCCTCCGTGGTTGCAGGTTCACATCTGCTCCACCTTGATTCTTTGTGGGCTGCACATCTACATCTGCCCCACCGTGGTCCTTCACGGGCTGCACATCCACATCTGCCCCACCGTGGTCCTTCACGGGCTGCTCCACCATACACTTCCATGGGCTGCAGGGAGACAGCTTGCCATCTCACCACACGCTGCAGGACACCTCCTCCCCCTTCCTCATCAACCTTGGTATCTCTGCTCCGGTATTGCTCGCACCTCCCCCTCTCCTCTGCCCTGCAGGTCTTTCCGCAGTTTCATTTTCCCCTTCTTGAATATGTTACTTGCAGAGGTGCAGCCAGTTTCTAATGGGCTCGGGCTCGGGCTTGGCCTTGGCCAGAGGCAGGGCCAGATTTGGAGCTGGGGAGCTTCCAGCAGCTTCTCACAGGAGGCACCCTTGCAGCCCCTCCCCTGCTACCAAAACCCAGCCAAAACCAGGAAGTGGTGGACTTCCTGCCCTCCTGGCTTTTAGAGTATGGCAGGAAACGGGAGGGAATACCTCTGTTCTGCCCCCTGGATCCCTCAGGGTCCTAAACAATACCCCCTCTTTAGGTTCTCATTGATACCATAAAATGAACCTGTGTCCCCTCAAACCATAACATGCTTGGGATTCCCCTGACCCACGTGCAGGACCCTGCACGTGGCCTCGTTGAACTTCATGAGGTTTGCATGGGCCCACCTCTCAAGCCTGTCAAGGTCCCTCTGGATGGCAACATGGCAACCCTTCCCTCCAGCATGTCAATCACCCCACACAGCTTGGTGTCATCTGCAAACTTGCTGAGGGTGCACTCAATTCCACTGTCCATGTCTCCAACAAAGATGTTTGTTCTGGTTGGGTGGGGTTTTTGGTAGCAGGGGAAGGAGTGGCTCCAGTAAGAAGCTGAGAAGCTCCCCCTGCTCCAAAACCAGCCAAGGAGCCATTAGAGGGACAATAGATG